ATAAGCTAAATATTATTTTTTTAATAAAATAAGTTCAGATTTAACATTAACTCAAAAAAAAATTTTTTTGGTAGTTTCCTCCCTTTCTATTGCAAAGAGCCCATTTATACTTGTTTTATTTCTTATAAAAGATTATTAATTTTGCTCTATATGGCCATGCAACTTCGATTTTTCGGTTCACGTAACATTGAAATTTTAAAATCGACCCGGAGACCCGGAGACCCGGAGTTTTATTAATGATTATTTTTTATTAATAAAAAGTTTATATAAATATTATATCATCTGATTGGTCAATCTTTAAGGGGACAAGGCTGTGCAAAGTAAATTTTCAGATTCTGTGACGAAAATTCAGGATATTTTTTTTTTTTAATAATAAAAATTATATCATGTGACCTTAAATCAAGAAAGTGACGAAAGAAGATTTACCTTTATTTGTGTAATACTTACAAATGAACAAGAAAAATATAATTATCTAAAATTTTTTTTTGCCCGGCCTAATCATATGACAATCACATTTCATTTCAAAATCATAACTCCGTCAAAATGCCTATTACACGTGAAAATACGTTACAATTCTAAAGATTGGAAATGTTTACCTGTTGAGAAAGAAACAAAAATAAAAGAAATATATTGATTCTATATTGGTGAGAAGCAGATTTTAAAGTGAAGTTTAGCCCATCAAAAACATTAGTTGGAGAAAAATTTCAGCACTTATTACTTGGGAAGCTGCATGAAACTAATGAGTTGTAAGAAAGGAATGATTACATAACGATAATACAATAAAGCTTTAATCTACCAATAAAATTACACATTAAAGTCACATGACAAACTTTTTATATTTGAACTTTTAAAAATTTGAAGTGATCCGGCCGGGTGACATGAACCGAAAAATTCGAAGTTGCATGGCCTAATATGTATTTAGCATTTGTTTATTAAATTCAATGTTTTTGAAATAAATGTTTTATTTTGTAAAATCTATAAAAAAAAACAAAATTCAATTCATTAAAGATGAACTTCTCTATACGGCAATATAAAAAATAAAGAAATAATAAATTTTCTATAAAAAAACTCCTTAAAGTTATTAAAGAAAGACTCCTCTAAAAGACGGTCTTTAAAATGGAAATAAAAAGGAAATTAAAGTTTTTATCAAAAAAAAAATTTTTTTTGTGTAGCAGCATACTTGTTTTTCATACACAAGGCCGATCGGAGTAACGATAATGTATAGGAATTTAGTTCCACAAGCATGAAAAAAAAAAAAAAATCAGAAAGTATTTAAATGAACATAGGACAAAATAAATATTACAAAAACTTTAAAATGTATCGACAGCACATATTGTTTATTTTCCTTTTTCTATTGGCTACTATTGTTAATTCTTATAAACTTATCGGACGTGCTTTTCATACAGCAAATTACATAAATGATAAAATTTATTTTCTTGGTGGGGGAATAGAAACGACGGAATATACCAATGATTTTTTTTATTTAAACGTTTCAGTACCCTTTACTCTAGATTCTTTGCCAATATTCAATGTATCTAGCAACGTTCAGATCGCTAAACATGGAAGAGCGACATCAACTGTTTGTGGTCATAATAAAGATACAATCTTTTTGTTTGGAGGTGACTTTGATGATGATGAAAGTGCGCTACCCTTAGTTTTTGCATTTAATATTAGCGTTCCACAATGGACTAATGCAAATGTTAGAGGACTTGAACCAATAAGACGTAGGTGGTCATCATCCGCCTGTGATAAACAGAAGATGTATATCTTCGCAGGTACTATATCTCATCATAGTACTTTTAGAAATGATTTTGATATATTGGACATAAATCGATTAACTTGGTCATTGGGAAGTAAAGTAAACATCCCAAATCCTAGAGATGTAGCTACTGCAACTATATTATCAGACGGAAAAATAGTTTTTCTTGGAGGAAATGGTGGTGGAAATATTATTAACATGTCAGAGGTTCGAAACAGTTTTTTAAAGTTTCTTCTTGTACCTGCTTTACTTAAATTTAATCAATTTTTTAACGATATGACATCTTTTATTTTATCGCGTAAAATGTAGATTAATCTATATGATACTAATAATGATAAATGGTCACAAATGGTACTAACCTACTTAAAATGTCCTTAAAAATCTTAGATATAATTTACTTATTCTTTCTTTCAAATATTCATAGGTTACAAATGGTACACCACCAGCGGGTCGAATGGGTCACACAACCGTCTTAAGTGAGCATGTCTATTTTAAGATTATATTTTGTACTATCTTATTTTTATTTCAAATTAAAGAAGCGATTGCTTTCATCGTTACATTATAGCAAAAGATGGACGTATTATTGTCTATGGAGGGCAAACTTTTGATGGTCCTCTTGCTCATCATGATCAATTATCAGTTTTGGATACTACGGAGCAAATATTTAGATGGTCAATTCCTGAAATCAAATATACACCTATTTCCGCACCTTACGTTGGGCATACGGCTACTCTTGTCGGAAATTATATGATAGTTGCTTTTGGTATAGTATGATATCTTACCTTGTTTAAGTTAAATATACTAATTGAACTACTAAAGAAATTATACATTTCATATAGGTTTAATCTATAAAGATAAAAATAATCCCCGTGTTTTTAGTAATCAAATACTTATGTTGGATGTAAGTGATAAAAATGATTACAAGTGGGTCACAAATTTTACTCCAAATACTACCACTACTGTGTCGGTTCTAAGTATAATTATTAAAACAGTTATAGTTTTTATGTTTGTGTTAGTGATTATTATCGCTATTTACTCATTATATCGTTATAGAATTAGTAAAGATACGAATGAGCATACCCCATTGTTGAATAACGATAATTGCTAGTTGTTACATTTGTTATTTAAACATTTTATATTTTGTATTTAAGTATTTATTTTATCATAAGCGTTACGTTATATTTTTTATTTTATAAAATTATTGTTATAATCAATTCTTTTTTTGTTTATTTTTTTTTTTTTATAAAAAAAAATAATTTCTTAATTATTATTTACACTTATAGCGATCATAAAAGTCGTGCTATACAAAATTAAAAAAAAAAAAGTGCTTAATTTGTATTGGTCGAAAATTAGGCGAAAAAGCAATATTTAATACGCGTTAGTGCATGCAGTACTACTAAAATAAAAATTTTTTTTTTTTATTTGCACAATGGACAGGAAGAATGATTATATCGAAGGAGACTTATTTTAAAAAAACCCAAGTATATTAAAATAATAAGTTTAATAAGCAAATAAAATATCATAGACAATTGTGGTTTAGCGTTCTCTCTTTTTTTTTTTTTTAAAAAAAAAAAAAAATACTGAAAGTTCTGGATAGTTATTGACAAGCCATCTGAAAATGATTTATCTGTTTAACTATATGAGCTCGAGCAATTAAAACATTAAAGAAGTAAAGCATCTATTTGTAGTGTAGTGAGAGGTTTTCTTTGCATTATCAAAAGCATTTGTAAATGTACTGATTTGTTGGTAATATTTCTCGTGATACTACACAACGATATTTTACTGGATTTACTATCGGAGTTGAATTTTCCGGGAAAATATCAATATTTCATAATACCTGGGCTGAAATCGTTCTGGAAATTTTATATCAATGAAATTATTTAACATTCAAACAAATTAAAAGATTTAACTATTCATGGTTAAAAAAGTCTAGCTAAAAGCTTCTTTGAAACAGCATTCACTAAATTATTGTTATTATTATCGTTATGACGTAAATATTATGATATTTTGAGGAAATTGTAATAGATGCATCTGCTAAAAATTAAAATTTTGCCAATTAATATAATTATATAAGGAATTTCATAAACGATGCTAACTTTGCCAAATATTCAATATTGTTGAGTAAACATTTGAACACTTCAAAAATCGTTCAGAGCTTGATAAAATTTTTTGGAATTTAATTATAAATAAATCACAAAGTTGACATTTAACAGTAAATATGATATCAAATTTTATTAAAAGTTCTTATTAAGAATATAAAGTAAATATATATAAAATACATTTTGTAAAAAAGTATATAATCTAAAATTTCTATTTAATAATTTATATAATTTATACAAATCAGATATAACCGATATAATAAAAATAGATAATAGTTATGCATTAATTATTGTGCTACTTGTCTCGTTCTTTGTACCATTTTCGCCTTTATTATCAGTACCAACTTTAACGTTCTTTAAATCGGGTTTGGCATTAATATCAACTTTTTGGTTTTCTTTATCAACTCTAGCATCAACAATATCCACATCTGCTGTAATATAATTATTAACTTTGGTATCTCCGACTCCGGCTTCGGAATTAACTTTACGTTTACGATTTAATTGGATTTACTTTTACAGAAGCAGCATTAGTGTCTGTAACTGCATTAACTTCGACGCCAAAATCTCTTTTTAGTACAGATACGGAAGCGTTGGAACCGGCAGCATCAACGTTAGAATTAACTACATTTTCATCTGAGCTTGTATTAGCATCAACTTTGACGTCAGCATTTCTCTTTTTTGCGGATACGGAAGCGTTGGAACCGGCAGCATCAACTTTAGCATTAACTCCATTAACTTCGACGTCAGAATTTCTTTTTAGAACAGACACGGAAGCGCTGGAACCGGCAACATCAACGTTAGAATTAACTACATTTTCATCTGAGCTTGTATTAGCATCAACTTTGACGTCAGCATTTCTCTTTTTTGCGGATACGGAAGCGTTGGAACCGGCAGCATCAACGTTAGAATTAACTACATTTTCATCTGAGCTTGTATTAGCATCAACTTTGACGTCAGCATTTCTCTTTTTTGCGGATACGGAAGCGTTGGAACCGGCAGCATCAACGTTAGAATTAACTACATTTTCATCTGAGCTTGTATTAGCATCAACTTTGACGTCAGCATTTCTCTTTTTTGCGGATACGGAAGCGTTGGAACCGGCAGCATCAACGTTAGAATTGACTACATTTTCATCTGTAATGATTCTTCTGCTGAGCAAAGACACAGATGGAGATTCAATGTCGGTTTTAATGGGAATTGAAACAACTGAAGTAGAAAGCATAGCCAATGCAACGGTGATAGTGATAATTTTGAGTCCTTTCATTTTTTATTGAGAAATTAAGGTGTGTGGTTGGTGTGGTTTAGTATTTTAAGGTTGAAAAGAAAGTTTTTGAAAGGATTACTTTTATTATTCTTTTTTAAAGATTGTAGTAATTATTCGGGAATGAATGTTTTAATTGAATGTGAATGATAAAAAAAAAATTCAAAGCAAGAAATTGGAGCATTTTATAAAAAATTTTCGAATAAGAACACATACAACAACTCTTGTTTCTTAATTAGAACCAATTAAATCGATTATAAATTATCGCCAAGAAAATCTTTTGAATTGATTCTTGTCTTTGAAAAAAAATAAAAAAAAAAAAGAATAAATAATAAACATAAGCGTTGACCAATGATGCGCCGCAGAGAACATGGTGCAACCTTTATGATGTAGATCGCGAAACAAGGATTTTCTTTCAAGATTATATGCATTGTTATGCATTATTAGTTTTTCCTTATAAAATAAAATCCTTTATCTCTTAAAAAGGATTTTTTAAATTAAAGTTTGCTATATTTAAACAAAAAACTTAATCTTTACATGAAAAAAATAAAGACAGAGCGTAACATTTCGCAAGTGAAAAGAAAGTTAACAAGGGACTAATGCGCGCACTTTAATAAATTTTGCATAAATTTACGTAATTGCACGACCGATCATGATCCAAGATTCGTCAATCTTTTGGACAATAGATTCTTGAAGATTAAACGTTTTGTTGTATACCGTGTAACGTGAAAGCTTATTCATTTGTAGAAAATCAATAACTTGTTATATTAAATCTCCAATACAATGTGCATTATTAAACCGATCGATTAAGAGCTGTATTATATATTAAGCAATAATTTACGCCAAGTTCTTTCCTTAAAAATAAAAGAGTTTTTACTTTAAATTCAGGTTATTAGAATCTTCAAAAATAAGGTGATGCAGCATAACTCAATATTGAGCCCACTTTAAATTAACGAATAAAATATATTTTAATTATTTTCATTATTTGTTTTCTTTCTTTCTTTTTTTTTTAAAAAAAAAATAAAATTTGTCAAATCAAATAATTCACATAAAAAAATGTCATACAATTAATTAATCTTGGTATTTATCTATTTATATCCGCGCATCCTGATAGTTTTATATTTTAATATAATATATTTTTAATTTTTTCGTTTTTACGATACACGAGAGTTTATTACATACGGTATTATACAATTTTTATTCGCTAAAAACCATGTCAAAAACTTCAAATAAACTGTAAAATACTTATTCACGATATTTTAAAGCTAAATATATGTCAAAAAGCATTTAACTTATATTTAGTAACTAATACTATTTTGGGAAATTCTTAATATGAAAAGTTAGATTGGTATTATGTTTTCCGAATTTGAGTTGAAGTATTTTGCTGATGATCCACTGTACATGATCATGTAATGCATGGCTTGTGAAACTTTATTAGCTTAATTAGACGATTTTTTTTATAAAATACATATTTTAGGTCTAATTCCAAGGATGCTATTAATGTTCATGGGTATCGAACAGTTTATTTTTAAAATGATGTACAAATAAATAAAAATAAATAATAATCTTATATATAAGGAGGAAGAGAAGTTTGGCTTATAGGCCAAATTTGTTCATAATTCGGGGGAGGAAGATTAGGTTGAGTTCCCGGTTCTGAATTAATTGAATTTTCTTGTTGATATAAAAGTTCAGCGGCCAAATAAGCCTCCTCTTCAACGCTTAACATATTTACAATTTTTATGGGAACATCCAAACTAAAATTATATTTGCTAAAAAAACCGAATTTAACTTTAATCTTAAGCTTATGAGTTATTTTGATATTAAAACTTTCATGAGACCAAGTCAGCTTGCTAGTACAATCTTCTGGGATTGAAAATTTAATGTCCGTTATGCATTCACTATATCGTGAATCTGTAGTAATTGATAATTCTCGACCTTTTACGATTTTCATACCAACGTATTTACTCTTTTTATTAACATCAAATGCGCCTGCAATAACAATATATTCTTTTAAGCCAACGATGATGTCATCCAAAGAAACGCGGGAATCATAGAATGTCAACTTCAATCTTACGACGATCGGATTACGAGGTCCAAAAACTTTATTACTTAAATGGATATCATACCCGATTCCTTTCGTTGGATCTCTTTTTGTCCAACTTTTAGGTTCAGGCAAAGGAGGTAAAATATAACGTCTGACCGTGTAGGCGCATTGTATGATCTTTTTTGTACCTCGAAGATTTGGTTTCTTTGATATGATAGCTTGAAGACAATAATCAACCTTTCCTCGTCCTTTATCTACGGACAAACTTGACGGTATATCGAAGGGAAGCGGAATTTCAAAAGGTAAATCCATATCAAGGATTTCGTGATATCTATCATCCGGACTTTTCCATAGTTCGATAGTAACCTCACAAATTGTATTCGTATTAAAAACTAAGATTTTTGGACCCGTGCCATGCGCTTGAACAAATTCGGTCCCCAGAAAACAAATTTGTATTTTCTTTGCATACAAAGGCCTATGTGCTGGAAATCTAAGGTGCAGCAATCCATTGATCGACACGTCGTTTGTGATACCAAGGTAACCTTGTTGAAAAGAATTCCGACCTAGTTGATAAGAGAAATATGCTAATGGGGTATATTCTTTATATAAGGAACGTGAAGGTCCTTTAAGAAAATTAGCCATTAAAAAAAAAATTGAGGTCTTTTTTATATTTATATATATATGTATATGTATATGATACAAGTAAAAAGAAAATTTTGTTATTTATGAGAAATGATTTCTTTATTATATACTAAAGGAAAAAAAGCTTTTCTAACGTAAGATAAAAAATAACACGGTCAATCGATTGTGCATATAACAGTATTTATCAATTTTTTGGGGGGCATCTTTAATGACGGTAAAAATCCGATTTAGGTTTAGTTAACTGATTTTCTTGAGAATTAAAAATTCAATTACAACCAATTAAATGGGATTAAAATTGCACGTATAAATTAATCACACAATGTGTTCAAAACAAAATTAATATTACTAAAGGTGGGAAATCATTTTTTTTTTAAGTTGATCATCTTATTTATCCAAATTTTTTTAAAATTATATAATGTTACTGTGCTGGTTTGCAATTTTTTGGATTGTCAAAGGTAAAGGTGGGTCAAAGGCTTATCAACTGATTCCACCGTAATTTTTCATGTAATAAATACATGACAAATTGATCATACGACGCATTTTTTGTTCGTGAATTCACATAAGCGTATCCTATTACCATTTAAAGGGATGATGGCTAATTAATTAATTATAGAATACAATGAATTTCAAAAAAAAAATTCAAATTTGGGATGATGACGGAATTCAGAAAAAAAAAAAATGTCTCCATTTATTCAATATGTTACATCCTAGGAAAGTTACACATTATATTACAGAAAGTTTTCACACACCACGCTATCATCAATGACACAAAAAGAGTAAATACTATTGTAAAGATTTATATATTTACGTAAGTGGATTTTTTTTAAAAAAAATTAAGATTCAATCTCCGTGTAACCAATAGCAGAAAATTTCAAAACGGCATTCTTTAACACATTATTTTTTGTTCTTAATGCCAACGTAAACAAGATATCCAGATTATTATCATCTACAAAATCGATAATTCTACAACTAAGTAATTGTTTCAAATCATGAATTTCTCTTGAACTAGTTTCATTATATAAATCCAATAATTCCTCAAAACTTAAATTTTCATCAAGTTTTCCAGTATAAATGTAATACAATAATCTATAAAAACTATCATAAGCAACTCCGTCCATTTTAATAACTATCTTACTGGTGTCCTTCCTTGTATCCTTTAATAATCTTTTAAAGTGTGAAGATTTTGTAGCAAGGTACATACTAGATGCTTTGATCGTAGAATTGCCACTAAACGTAAATATGATGTCACTGAACACATCATCGTCAAAATATTGTTCATATGGTATAAAATTGGATGGACTAATAAATGCCAAATTATTTTCAATTTTATAAAAATTAACTCGAACCATCAAATCCGCTTTGATCGTCTTGTGATCGCCTGGAAATATTTTTGCGGTTTCATTAAATTTGGAAACTTCTGATGATACGCCATGTTTATTAGTTGAAAAAGAATTGAGCCTTTGACTTTTACCTACAGGTGTATATTTCTCAGCTCTATTATACTTTACAAATAGCTCAAAGTAATGATCTGCACTCCGTTCTTTCAAATCAATGATATTTTTGTTTTCAAAATCTGTTTGTATGGCGGTCAAACCTATAGAGAGGTGACTCCGAATATAGCCATCAACTAGATTTATATAAAGTCGCCATTCAAAATAATTGCCTTGTTTATGTTGCAAATGGCTCGGCACAGGAGAATAAAACCGGTCACTCTTAATAAAACTAGGTGATACTTGGTAAAAGTCTTGAAAATTTTTAATTATCCAATCATAACTATATAGTATTTCTTTATTTTGTGAATTCAGCTCGGCACAGCTTATATCATTTAAAAATTCATATCCCATAACATAACTAAAAAAAAGAGTTGAAATGAAGGGCAAGTATATACGCATGGTGTTTTTTTTTTTTTTTTAATAAATGTGTTAATGAGAAATAATTGAAAAAGATATATTTGTATTTGATTTGAAAGATGATCTAACCGAATTTGGTTATTCATTGTGACAGCACAATAAATCGAATATTGCTATTGTATTTCATGACTCATCGTGTAACTTTTGATAATTTTCCAGATTTAATTTACTGTAACTATAAATGTGCAAACCCGATCAGCAAAAAAATATAGTTTAAAACCAAATCAAAGGAGTAACTTTTAATCATAATAACCGGTGCAGCTGTCGGAAAATCTACTTTCATTAACAAATACAAGAATACTTGGGATAAAATCAGCAAACTTTTTCGCTTGATCCACATTACTTTTAGTTCTGATACAATTTAACCAAGACTTTGCGTCTCTTTTAACGAGCAAATTTATTGATTTACCAACTTATGAACTCATTGGAAAGAAATTTACCCGGTCAACCGTTTTAATTTTTATGGTTCCGTGGAAGGAATGTTAGCTTTGTTTAACGAACAAATCAAACTTTATCTCGAAACAATGGATGAGATGAGATTACAAGAAGGTTGGAAAGAGTTAGCAGAAAGTAAATTTTCAGAAGCCGATTGAATACGAAATAAAACTTGGGGAGTTTTTTGTCAGTATTTCTCGTGCTTCTGTTTCTTTTAAATACTCTTAATGAGAATTATGCTTAGGAGAACTATTAATCCGTACATGTATTCGAATTTGTTAATCTTAGAATATCTTCGGAACGTTTTTTAAAGACATTTCACACTGCGTTTAAAATACACAATAAGTTTTAATAATGTAACGTTAAACTTTCAATATGTAACGCATTTCTTATATGCGAAATAATTAGGATTTTATTTAAGTGATTTTTTTTTTATAATCAGTTTTGTATGAAAATATTGAGGCAACCTTTTACTTTACTGAAACCCGTGAAATCGGGGCTATGTAATAGCCATATAGTCGCTATTTAACATTGAAGACGTATTGCTATTTTATGTTAAATTTAAAGCAGTTAAAAAATAAATGTTATAAATGACTTAAATTAGATAGAAAGTAAAAGTATAAATGAAGTATAATAAATTTGTAGTAAATGTATAGTAAATTCACGTATTTATTAGCATCAAATTCATAATAAACATATGGTAAATTCATAATAAGCACATAGTAGCCTCATATAGTAAATATATAACAAATAATATAGTTGATTCATAGTAGATATTTGTTCTCTGCAATAATCGTTATAATTAAATGTATGCTATTCTATTAATCCGAATTGATCCAAGTCCCGAACATAAAAAGAGAAAGGGAAGGAAATGTAATAACTCTCCTCGAAAGTAAAACAAAACTAAAATAAACAGAAAAATCCGGGTAATCTTACATTAAAGAGTTTCTCGACTTTGAAAAGTTTCACTTTCATGAAGATCCTTCGATCAACTATCAAGAAATTCTATGGGGAAGTTCGTAAAAAAAAAATGAAAGGACCTGAAGTCCTAAAATGAAAAAAAATAAAGTTAGTACAAAAAAACAATAAAAAACGAAATAAAAATAAAATTGTTGTCCGGAACGAAGTGAAGGACTATATATGTACAGGTCTAAGGTTACACGTGGTGTCCCGTTGTCCGCCCGCTCAATAATTGACTCTTGTAATTGCACAAAAGTTTAGATAAAGTTCCGGACTTAAAAACGGGTCCCCGTTTCCCTAGTATTATATACAATATTAAATAGCTTTAAAAAGAAAACATTTTTAAAATAATGTCTGATTTCTGAATTATGATTATTATCCTTGCATTTTGCATTACGATCTTTGAAGCTATAATATGGGTTATATCACGATTGCCCGAATGCCAATTTCCCGAATATACCTTTTCCCGAAGACCACTCGCCTGAACTCAAATTTTCCAAATTGGACATTTTACCGAAAAGTCCAATTTATCGAATGTCAACTTCCCAAAAACCAATTTCCCGAATTGCATGAAATATCCATTTTTCTGAACATCCAATTTCACAAATTCTAACATCCCGAATGTCCATATTCCCGAGTCATCTTTCTTAAATTAATAATTAATAAAATATAATTACCTTCCACCATTGCAGTGGATCTACGATTTCTGAAAACATTTGTATATTGCGGATTTCATTAGAGTATCAAAATTTGATCAATTCAGGAAAATGTCCATTCAGGACATTGGGATTCAGAAAATTGGTGTTCAGGATGTTAGAATTCAGGATTCAGGAAAATTTGATTCGGAAATATATCTATTCAGGAAATCAGAATTAGGTAAATTAGCATTCAAGAAATTGGATTTTTTGGTAAAATGTCAGAAAATTGGCATTCGGGCAAGTAGGTATATTCAGGAAATTGGCATTCAGGAACTTGTCTGATAAGAGTGATTGTGACTGCGGGCAACCAGTCACATGATTGAAAATGATTAACAAATTTGACGTAGATAAAATTAGATCATATGATAAAGTGGTCATATTCGATCTAGTAGATATATTAGATAGATTAGTTATAGTCATTATATTTGTTAGTTTTATCCTATTTAGTAGAGTTATTATATTTATTTTATTTATTTATCATTTATATTTTATTTGTTATATTTTATTTTTATTTTATTTTGTATAAATATCTTGTATTTTCTCTTGAGTTGAAAAGTAACTTGAGATAAAATTTTTAGGATAAACTAAGAATTCAATAAAGAAATCTTATAAATTCTTTTACTATATTACCTTTTGTTATGTTTTTATATAGGCGTGATTGTGATAAAATCTTATATTTAATTCTACGTATTAAATTAAAAGTAAATCATTTTAGTTTATAGAAATCAAGCCAACATCATATACAAACAAAATGTGTCTTTTAAGCTTAATCTTTGACTATTAATAAAAAGTATTGTGATAAAAATCATCATAATGAAGGACAAATATTGGAAAATCAAATTTTTTATGATTTTTATTGATACTTTCAAACCAATCTATGTAGATAAATGGATAAAAATATCTATCATTGCTTTTATACTTGAAAATACCTTTATGACAGCATAACTTTTACCATAATTAGCTACTTAAATTATTACTACATCTTTTATATTTAAATGGCATTAGATTTCATCTTGAATGTAAGATATATATTCATAAAAATTATAAATCTTATTAATTAGTAATATGTAATATTCAAAATAATTGTATGCAAGAGTCAAGTCAGTTTAAAATTAAATTGTATTAATTTTAATATCTATTACTTGCTTTTTTAACATTATATTTCAAAATTAATTAGATTGAGAATAAATTACGAAATTATTATTAGCATGTAGTCAGTCACTTTAACTATTTAAATTAGATTTATCAATTACCTTTAATTCTTTATTAACCATTTTTGAATTTTATATAATAAACTAATTTTAAATAAATTATTAAAATCCTGAGATATATTCATAAATTCAATATGAGATCATAAGTTTTAGGGATCAATTTTACTATTTGTAAGATGCTATATAGATATTAGAGTAATATAATACTTTAATAAATTAAAATCAATATTCTTGTAATAAGTATGAAAACTATATTCTTAAATATACAATAAATCATCTTTTTTATTTTGACTTAATTATTAGTAAGGGTTCTAAAAGTTCTCATATATTTTAATTAATAATAATTAATATGAAAGTTAAAAAGCCTTATAAAATTATTGGATAGCTACATTTAACAAAAATTAGTTAATAAAATGTAATCCAAATTGACCTGAATATAGAAACAATTTTTTTAACTTAAAAACTTAATACAACTAAAATTTAGCATATAAAATTACTTTTAAGATTTTATTTTAGCCTGCTGATCTGTTTTGAGATTAATTTTTAGATATTTTTTAAAACCTATATAGTTATCACTTATTAATAAAGTCTTAAATACTAACTAAAATATTGCTATAATTACCTAATAATTAATAATTGTATTAATCACTTGATTGCAATTTAAACTTATAAGTCTTTGTAATTTCTCTATTTATTTTATAGCTTTAAACAATTAATAGTTAATATTCTATTTAATATAAATGACTTTACTATTTACAATTAAAAATAATTTAATATTATAAAACTTTTAAAGTGATTAATAAAGTTTAAAAGCTTTAGTTATTAATAGGAATATTCAAATTTTTCCATCCTCTAATAAAATTTCATTCACCTTCTAAAAATAGTATTATAATTATAAATTTAAGTAGTCTTAATATTTTACTAACTATTAAATGGTAAATATTCTGTAATGATTATATATGATATTCTTGTTAAAGCTAATTTTGGATTAGCAAAATATTTCACAAACTATATTCTTTTATAAAATTATTTCATTTCTTTAGAGTTAATAATATAAAAATATTTCTACATTAGGTGTTAGTATAATGATAATGAGAAATACTAGTAATATTTAATATAGAGTCTGTTATATTTTTTATAGTAGTTAGACATATTTTATACCCTTTATTACTCTATGTTATTTTATACCTATTAGATTATTATCTTGAGGTAAATCTGCTATAATACATCTAAGATTAGCTATAAACTAAAAATCTCTTCTTTAAATATTTATCAAAGTTTTTTTTTTAATTGTTTTTTTGTCTTTAATAAAATAACAAATAAAATTATTAAAATAATCACTAAAAGGAATAAAATCTAAGATGAAATAATTTTTAAGATATTTTCCTATATTAAATGGCATATTTTCTAGTTGAATATAAATTTCTCTTAGTGAATAATAAATGTTTCAATATATTCTGAAGTTATTATAATAGATATTAATAAATATATTTAATATTTAAAGATTGTTATATAGTAATAATGGTAATAGTAGTAAATTTATAATAAAATATTTATATAAATATATATATTCTAATATTACATTTTGTAATTTTCAATGATTATTATTTTGTATAAAATTTTTAAATTT